CTCCCCGGCCTGCGCCAGATCTCGTGCACCCTTCCAGGAACCTTCCGGGACCCTTCTCGGAGCCTTCCTGCAGGCGCGCCAGCCTGCTGCTCGGCAAGCTGCGCGGTCCCGCGGCGGCTCGCAGTCCTAGATACCGAGAAGACGGAGAGGCAGAACCGCATCCCCTGTATCGAAAGGTAGGGTAGGTGTAGGTAGAGAGGCGGAAACAGCACAGCGCTTGCCAGAGACCGACACCCGTACGAGTGGGACACAAGTGAGGCGGAGGGACGGCCCCGCTATGGAGGGACACGACACACCACAGGCGCGCAGGCTAGACACGCACAGCTAGCCAACTGGGCTGCCACACACCCTGGCAGAGTGATGAGGTCCCACGTTCCAACCAACACTCGAGAGGACGCGTGTTCAGCTGCATTCGGGCTGCACTCGCCACACTCGAGGTCTGGCGCAGCTCTGTCTCGCAGCCTGTGTCTCCACGCGATAGCTAGGAGTAATGTGCCGGGCCCCTCATCGGGTCGGTGTGCTCTTTTGGAGAGAGAACCCCCCCCCCTTTTGGGGACCCTCCCCCTCCCCCCCCCCCCTCGCTCACCCCCCCCCCCCCTCCCGTCTCATCGTGTGTGTGCAGGTCTCGCCCGTGGAATGCGTGGGACACCTCCGACGCCGCCGTCTCCCCCGCCGGCATCGCCGAGAAGCGGGACGAGAAGTGGGCGTCGGGGGGCGGCGGTCCGCCCGCCGAGAGCACGGAGGTGAGCAGCAGCAGCGAGCCGTCGTCTGAACCGCGGGCGGCAGCAGGCGAGCCCTCGAGCGAGCCCGCTGGCGGTGGAACCGCGGAGGCGGCCGAGCTCAAGTCGGCGCTCGCGGCGACGGCGGAGGAGCTGGCGAACGCGCAGGCCACGATCCGCGCACTGGAGGCGAGGCTGTCGTCGGCTTGAGCCTCTTCCTGTTGCTCCCTCCTCCCCGCCGCCCCATGGGCCCGCGGCGCGCCCGTGGGGAGACGGGGAGGAGAGGCGAGGCACGGCCAGGAACCGGCTTTAGATGGGAGCCTGCTCTCACCGGACACCCCCGCGCGAGCGTGGCCTGTACACCATGCACACCAGGCGCAGTCCGGCCCCGTCCCCGAGCCGTGACTTGGTCTTGCATCTTTCGTTTGACGCAATAAATTTTGCGTTCTTCGTCTCTATATCATGCAAACTGCAATGCCTTCGGCGCTCCCACGCGTCTCTCAGACCCGCCCATGTGCGCTGTGGCCTGTCGCTGGGTCCGCCTCCTGACGAGTGTCGACCGGACGATCGATAACACGGTGAAACACGCGCCGAAAATGCGTCTAGGGCTAATCCATGTCGTCCATGCTCGGCGACGGCGCCGTGACCGGCACCGGCACCGCGGCGGTTGGGCGCGTCGTCGGCGCCGAGGCAGCCGCGGCGGCGGTCGGCGCGGCCCGCCCTGCGTCCATCTCGGCGACCTTGGCCTGCAACTCCGCAAGCTTCTGCTTGAGCTCGACTTCGCGCTGCAACGCCTATGGCGGGAAGCGCGCGCCGTCAGTGCCGAACTCCCCCCCTCAAGACGCCCACCGCCGTCGCCTCCCCCCGAACCTCCATCTCGCGCTGGAGCGCCGCGAGTCGCGCCTCTGCGGCGGCCGCTTGGGGGTACTCGGAAGCCGGTGCGCTGCGCGCCGCAGCGTCGACGGAATATGCAACCCGATCACCGGCGGCGGCAACGGGGACGGCGGCGGCAGGGGCGGCAGCCGCGGCCGGGGTAGCTGCCGCGGCGGCTGGCGCCTCAGCCTCGCCCATGCCTGGCTTTCTCGCCCCGCGCATTTGCATGCGCTGAGGCGTGGGCCTCGCGCGCGGCGCCGCCGCCGCGTCCACGACCTCGGCCTGCGCTGCGCCGCCGCCGCCCGCCGCGCCCGACGCGGCTGCCCCGCCCGCCGCCGCCGCCGCGGCCGGCTTCTTCTTGCCGTACAGCAGCTCCATCAAATCGGCGTCTGACTCTGCCCCCGCCGCCCCCGCCGCCGCCTTGCCGGCCGCTGCGCCGCCAGCCGCACTGCCACCCGCGACCGGCTCAGAAGCGGCAGCCGTGGCGGCGGCGGCCTGGCGGCGGCTGACAACAGACTCACCGCGTGCGAAGCCGCGCTGCTGCTGCGCCGCTTGCGCCGCTTGCTGCTGTGCGGCGGCCGCCGCACCCTGCGTCAAACCTGCATCCGACTCTGCCCCCGCCGCGCCCGCCGCCGCCTGCCCCGCTGCCGCCTGCCCCGCCGCCGCCGCCGCCGTCTTCTTCTTGCCGTACAAGAGCTCCATCAAGTCAGGCTCCGCCGCGCCGCCGCCCGCCGCCGCACCGCCGGCCGCGTCGCCGCTCGCGCCGCCACCAGCTGCCGCCGCCGCGCCGCCGGCCGCCTTTTTGCCGTACAGCTGCTCGAGCAGCGCTTGCATCTCGTCCTGCTTGCCGCCAGCCGTCGCGGCCTGCGTTGCGCCGCCGCCGCCTGTCGCGCCCGAAGCGGCTGCCCCACCCGCCGCCGCGGCCGCCGGCTTCTTCTTGCCGTACAGCAGCTCCATCAAATCGGCGTCTGACTCTGCCGCCGCCGCGCCCGCCGCCGCCTGCCCCGCCGCCGCCGCCGTCTTCGTCTTGCCGTACAAGAGCTCCATCAAGTCAGGCTCCGCCGCGCCGCCGCCCGCCGCCGCGCCGCCGCCCGCGCCGCCGCCCGCGCCGCCACCGGCGGCCGCCGCCGCGCCGCCGCCCGCCTTTTTGCCGTACAGCTGCTCGAGCAGCGCTTGCATGTCCTCCTGCCTGCCGCCCGCCGTCGCGCCTAGAGTGCGGAGGAAGCGGCGGTGCGAAGCGGCTGTGGGAGCGGGTGAAGGGAAGGGGGGGAGGGGGGCGGCAGCGCACCTGTGGCAGCGGCGGCGGCGCCCCCGGCAGCTCCCGCCGCGGCGGTGGCTGCAGCACCTGGCGTGCATTGCGTCTGCGGGTGAGGGTGTGTGGGGAGGGGAGTGCGGAGGGCACGGCGGGGGTGGAGGAGCGCGTGGCGAGGCGCGGGGGGTGGGGCGGGAAGGGGGGGCAAAGGAGGCGTGGGGTGTGGAGGCGGCGGGGTGGTGGTGGCGGCAGGGGGGGAGGGAGCGGGGGCCTTTCTGCGCCGCCACGAGGCTGCTCAGCTTGGCGACGCAATCGTCGAAGGTCATCTTGCCGCTGTTGACTTGGTCGACGACGGCGTTGATGGTCTTGAGCGGCACGCCTGCCGGGAGGGGGCGAAGGGCGCAGGGCTGGGCAAGAGCTGGGGAGAGGGGTGGGGGAAGTGAGGCCGGCGGCGAGGACAGCTTGCGAGGGACCGGTGGCCAAAACTGCCGTGTGCTGCGCTCGTGTTCGAATCGGTGTGGGCGCACTCCCGAGGGAGGGCGAGCGCCGCGCGGCTGGCTCGGCAGCTGACACTGCGGGCCCGCCCGAGCCCACCGGCACGGGAGTCGGTATCGGCGTCGGCGCTGGCGCCGGCGACAGGCGCGGCACCCGGAGCCGCTGACAAGGGTTCGTGACACGGGCTTGCAAACGGCGGGGCTTGGCACGCGTGCCTGCGGTTTGCGCGGCGTCGACAGCCGCCTGCGCGTCCGCCTCCGTCGCCTTCTTCGCCGTCGCGCCGCCAGCCGCGCCGCCACCAGCTGCCGCCGCCGCGCCGCCGGCCGCCTTTTTGCCGTACAGCTGCTCGAGCAGCGCTTGCATCTCGTCCTGCTTGCCGCCAGCCGTCGCGGCCTGCGTTGCGCCGCCGCCGCCCGCCGCGCCCGAAGTAGCTGCCCCCGCCGCCGCCGCGGCCGCCGTCTTCTTCTTGCCGTACAGCAGCTCCATCAAATCGGCGTCTGACTCTGCCCCCGCCGCGCCCGCCGCCGCCTTGCCAGCTGCTGCGCCGCCAGCCGCACTGCCACCCGCGGCCGCGCCGCCGGCCTTTTTGCCGTACAGCTGCTCGAGCAGCGCCTGCATGTCCTCCTGCCTGCCGCCCGTCGCGCCGCCGCCAACGCCTCCTCCTCCTCCCGACGCCCTCCCCGCCGACGTCGCAGTTGCCTGTGCCCCGCCGCCAGCCGCGGCCTGAGCTCCGGACTCGGTGGCATACCGCGGCTGCTGCTGGACCGAGTCGGGGTCGACGTCGCCGAGCAGCGCCTCGAGCCCGTACACCGGCCTCGCCTCGCCGCCGCCGCCTCCAGGCCCCCGCGCCGCACCTCCAGGCTGCTGCTGCTGGCGCTGCTGCTGCGGCTGCTGGCGCTGCTGCTGCTCCTGATACCGCTGCTGCTGCTGCTGCTGCTGCTGCTGCTGCTGCTGCTGCTGCTGCCCGGCGGCCGCGTCGCCGTCGGCGAGCTGGTCGCACGGCACCTTGACGCCGCTCACGCGCTCCTTGTCTGGCACCATGGTTCGCGTGGAGGCGCCGCGGCCGTAGCACCCACGCGCCCACTTGTCGGCGCCTCCGAAGACGCCGCGCTTGCCGGGGCCCATCCAGGCGAATGCGGCGCAGCCCGGCCCCTCCGCCTCGCACGCGCCGCGGCAGGCGTCCGCCGAGCCCGTCTCTCCGAAAAAGAAGATGTCGGGCCGCCGCTCTTTGCCGGGCGCCGCCACGAGGCGCGAGATGGCATTGTAGCCGGGCTTCATCTCCCAGCAGGTGCGAGGCTGCGCGGCAAGCGGCAGTGAGGCGATGAGCGCGAACATGGCCGGCGAGGCGGGGTGGGCGCGTTTGCGATCTGAACGCCACGCCACCCTGAGTCGACCTGGGTTCGAGCTGTTCTCTTCACAGTTGTGTTAGTGCCTCTCTCGAGGTTCTCGAGGTGGATATCCTTTGGCCGCGTTGGGTAGCGAGGATTGGTGTAACCCGAGCCACGGAGGCGTGTTTTCTGACGGCCGACCGTCAGTGCACGGAGTTGCCACTTCTCCGACTGCCCCGGCTAGTTCCCGAGGTCGTCGGGTGTGACCCCTTCGTCCCCCGAGACCTAGCGCGGGTGGGTTGGAGGGGGCTCGCCCCGTTCCTCCCCATCGGGCCGCATAAGCGGCCACGCCTCGCAGATTCGTTTCTCGCGCCTGGGTCAGGCGCGCGGGGCATCCCCCGGGTCGCTCGACCAGCGATCCGAAGAGTGGCCGCTATGCGAGGGAAAGAGCGGGGCCCACGGGGTACGCCTCCGTCCGGCCCCCTCCGAGGGGGGAAGGGAATTGTGGGGTCCCCACGGGCGCCTCAGTTCGGCCCTCCCGAGGGGGGGGAGGGGAGCAAGGGGGTGGGGGGATCGGGGCGGTGGGGAGGGGTCTCGGTTTCTTGTGGCTAATACTTGCCTTTCGGGGAGGGGCCTCAGCCAAGCGCTCATCACTGAAGTGAGAGCTGCCCGACGTCTTCCCCTCCTCCCGTTGGGGGGGAGGGCAGAGGCCGCTATCGAGGAGTGATCTTCCCGACCGCGACCCCCGCCCCGCCCCCGCCCTCGAGGCAGCGAGTATGTTCTTCACCTTTCTACCTATACCTACCTCTAGTGTGAGCTCTAGCTAGTGAGCTCATACGCACGCCGGCAGATCGCGCGCGACTATATACAGCTAGTTAGCTGTTCTTCACCTTCCTAGCTAATCAACTCCATGGAACTTTCAGCTCTACAGCGCTCTACAGCGCTCTACAGCGCTCTACAGCGCTCTACAGCGCTCTACAGCGCTCTACAGCGCTCTACAGCGCTCTACAGCGCTCTACAGCGCTCTACAGCGCTCTACAGCGCTCTACAGCGCTCTACAGCGCTCTACAGCGCTCTACAGCGCTCTACAGCGCTCTACAGCGCTCTACAGCGCTCTACAGCGCTCTACAGTTCTACACAGCGCTCTACACTCTACATCCTCTACACCCTCCCTCATCGCTAGCTCCCGAGTAGAGGGGGCGTCCTGCAGTTAAGGGGAGACCTGGTACGCGGGGCCAACCCTCGGAGCAGAGTATTCTCGTATTTTACTAGCTCCGAGTAGAGGGTGCGCTCTGCAGCTAAAGGGGAAACACCCGGCAGCGCAGAACCAACCCTCGGAGACCGAGTAGAGGGGGCGTTCGCTGCTAGGGGAAACCCAGAGCGCGGGCTAACCCTCGGAGACCCGTGTTAAATGGCCCTGCGACCGCGCACTCCCCAGGGCTATAGCTAGCAAGGGCTCTCTTGAGCCCGCAAGCGCAACCGATACCCATATACCGATCATCCGGCCCCGCTGGGTGAGCTTCT